TTCCAAAGCTATTGGTATGTAGCGAACATAAATTCTACTCAATATCCAAAAAACCATCCGCCAAAAAAGTCTAGTCAAGTGATGTTAAGTATGGCTCTGTACTTCAGCATCAATCCTCGAATCAACATCAGTTTCCCCATGGTCAGTTGAGTAGGTAGGCATTTTTGAGTGTTCATATCAACTCCCCAAGCGGGGCTTTGATATTATGCTGCATCGTTCTCATATCTTGAGAGTAGGTATAAGTCTAGAGATATCTCTTGCCATCGATCTCATTCAACCACGAGGACCCAATCGGCATTTCCGACATTAACGTGTAGCACATTAAATGTCATTGGGGAGGCAAATTCCCAATGTTCTGATCCTTCAAGGTAATTCCTTTGGTATCTCATGCATTCAGCTGAACATGAATTTTGGCCTCTCTTACAAAGACGGCAATGGACTCCGTGTTCAAGTTTGACCTAAACCAAAGGTAAAACTCAACTACTTTATGAACGATACACACGCAGATTGAAAGCGCAAACTGGTTCAACCGTGCAATCATTCATATTTTGGGCTAACGATTCTGTGGACACTCAGATTGGCAATTCGCAAGTAAACTTTCGGAATGCAAGTTTGTCTTCATTGTGATTAGAAACGGATCTTCAAGTGTAGTTGTTGCCTACCTACTTTACTAAAGTCGATATGTACGACGATATTACCATAGGCGGTGACATCAATACCTCATAAAGCATTGAATGGTTTTCGCATCCTGTAAACATTGTCGGAAGAATTCTGCAGCCCATGACCGCCAGATCGTTCGCGACATACATGATGCAACATCAACCAAGAAGAAATTCAACAGGCGCTCAAATCGTGCTTGTTGAAGTTATCACCAGGAAAAAGAAATAAAGACGTAAAATCTCTTATTCTCATTCAGGGTCCTCAAAATGCGTCACATATCCTTCATCGTTTATCCCAATTCCCACTATCTATTTCCCCTCTCCAATCTTACCAGACGACCTCTTCAATATATCCCCCGAAATCCTCACATCCCTCACCAAACATATCCCCGTGGTACAGTGGTCTACGTAACGCCTCCACCCATGCCATAGTAATCGGGGCTCTCTCAATCGGGCCAAATAGGGGACAGTTTGGTACAGTCATTCTATAGTACGAAGTTGATTGGGATTTACAGCGTCGCAAGACGTGTTGAAATTTTGCTATTTTTGTTTTGGTCATTTACTTTTCTTTTCTGAAGATAGGATTTTTGAAATGGTTGGTGGGGAGAGAGATTTGGGTTGAGTTTTTGTGGGGCGAGATTTTAGGCGACGATGAGGTGGGAAGTGAGGAGTGGGTGGATGGTGAGTGAATCGTTTTTGAGACTCACTTTTTTTATACATAAATTTGATGTCAGTAAGATGATCCGATGATCTATTGGTGAATTGTAAGCCAATTTGACTATACAAAATCACAAACGCTTCATCGCTTCATGATAATCTAGAGAAGTACTCGGTGTATCACATCCTCAATACAAGCTTCGTAAGACTTCCGAGTAAGCGCGAGATGGTTTGCATTGATACCTTGAAAGTTTATATGGGTGTTATTGCCATCATACTACCGATGTCTTCATTCAAGGAATCCATGGATGTATGTGGATGGGATTTTAATCCCATTAAATACTTCTACATCTATCCATTCGATTGATGAAGCAATCAATCTCCTGTGTCGAAAAAACCTATGCCCCTTGAGAGTAAAGGCAGTAAGCGAACTTTGGGAATTCTTGAATTGTGTGCCCATTTCAGAGGTATGGATATATAGTAACAAAGCTAACCACATCTAGGAACCAAACAAGCTGCGGAAGCCAAGATCTGTATTCGCCAGAGAAAGAACTCACTCCTGAAGAACCCTCATGTCAAAATTCCGAGAGATAGGCATGTGTAGTTCCAAGGTAAGGGGAGTCATGTTTAACTCTGCGAAGATATTTCCAGTAAGTGGAGAGACCAGAACATGAATAGTATTCACTGTCACTTCCACTCTTACACGCTCCTGCTGTCAGAAGAATATTGGATAGACCTTGATGATAATGATGGTAAGTAGTTCTAAACATGTGAGGCACACGCATGACCCTATCCATTCGTTATTTAATTATACGGCAGGAAATTAGATCATCCCATTCGTTAGGAACCAGCTCCCAGGAATATGTCCTAGGAAAAAATATCTTGAGCATCAAGGAAAGTTTTGACATAGAGGAACCCATTTGGTGTGTTTAATGAAATACAGGTTGACTAGATATTTTAAGACTGGCGATTGGCTAGAATGGGATTCACTCTCAGGCTTGGGAACAAGTCTGGACTCTAGAGTATGAGTTTGATGTCAATATGATGAAAGACGGTCACATGATACTCGGATATCTCGTAGAAAAATATAGAAGACGCTCTTTAACTGTGATTTTTATCCATGCCAATGGTGGACTGTTGAGACAACTTTGCAGGATCCGTAAGGTCCGCAAAGCCTCGATCAAAGATCTAGAGTGGTAAGATCGATCAAGCGGGATTTGTTTAGTAGATCACGAAGAATGGGGATAGCATATTTATCCCATTTTTTTGAAGTGTAGTAATCTAGACGCTGACGCTAACCCATTTCCATCTAAGCGCACTGATCTTCATCGCCGTCGAATACTTCAATTGTCATTTACAAGAATAAGAACTTCGATCCACAACAAGCTCACAAAATGATACGCCCAAGTTGCGGTATCTAAGTATTATGCTACATTTTGGATTATAAGCAATTGGAATTCCTAGCAGAGCAAGTAGTGTTCTACCTTTTTCTTTTTGCAATAGCGAGGTGATGGTCCGAAGAACTCACGGTGTTTATATAGTTAGACGGGAAAGGCTTTCTAGCATTTGTGCAAGTGAATATCGATTTCATATGGTGAAAGTATGGGGTAAGAGGACATTCCACTGGGGAGAGATGACGGATATTCAAATGATTTTGAATACCAAAAAACGAGAAATATGAAACACGACGGGGAGTAAATCATTTGACGGACGAGTTAATTCTCAGCTCTATTGTCCACCAATCGTGACGAGCTTTGATACCGCTAATTTTCAGAGGCGCTTGCAGCTCTACACATTCCAAACATGTTGCTTTTCCCACTTAAACCATTCACAATATTCAGTACACAGTTCATCCATGCTTGCTCCGGGAACTCGTCTTCAGGCCCCCTTGAATCTTTGATACAACCTTAATTCCCCTTCATCTTCTCCATCATTTCGCCGAACAACTTCTTCCTCCTCACCTCCACCTCCTCATATCCAAATCCCTTCCACGTCGTCCCCACCGGAATATCTTCATCGCCCCTCTCCAGTCCCCTCCACGCTTCTTCCGTAAACTCATCCAACGGCATTCCCATATTCCTTCCATCTTTAATATCTGGCTGATGTTTTTCATCATGAAGCTCCGTCTGAACAGCAGGCGGATAGATTTCAACAACCTTTACACCCTTACTCTTTTTCTTCTCCCCCAACGTCTTTTCCTCCGCGGTATTCCCACTTTCACCCTGACCGAAATCTCTCAACTGTTCCCGCATCACGAGAATCAATTGATGCATAGCAGCTTTACTTGCACAATAATTGCCACATCGCACAATTGGTACTAAAGCCAATCCACTAGTCGTGAATATCAATCCGGCATTTTCGCCACCCTTGGCTCTATTTTGAAGATGTGGAAGGAGTGCTTTAACAAGATGAACGTAGGACAGATAGTTAGTCGTGAATTCTGTCGAAATTAAATCGAGATCTATAGATGAGGGTTGAGTGAAATCGAGAGAACGTTGGATTCCACTATTGAGAAATGCGCAGTCGAGGGAGGGATGTGATTTGAGGACTCTGTGGAGTCGATTCATCAGTATTTGTTGACACTAGCACTAGCAATTGATCGGAATATATAGACAACATACCCCTCAACCATCTTGGGAATACCCTCTAGATTCGTAATATCAAAGGCCACGGTTGAAACTTTGGAATCTCCATGTTTCCTCTGTAATTCGTCGAGTTTATCTTGACGACGGCCCAAAGCGATGATTTTGCTAACGCCTGCAGAAAGCATTTTCTCAGTGAGGGCAAGCCCGATACCTGAGGTGGCGCCAACCACCAGTACCTGATATATTTTCTCAGCAAAGACGAAATTGATGATGGATGATTGAGGAGGCTTACAGTTTTGTAGGGAAATGGCATTTTAATTTTCGTGATTGAATACAATGAATTATTAATCTTGACAGAATTTTATTTTGAGTCAGATGCAAACTTCCAAATAAATAAATCAAGCTTCAATGAACGAGCTAACTTATGTCATTGACCAATTGGTTTATTACAAATGCATGACATCATGGATTGCTTATGTTAATATCATATACCATGGGATGCACTGGGGAGAGGGGAGACTAGTAGTTGTGTGATACTAGACGGGGCTCTAATACATGATAACCGAAATAAGAAGCGGAAGTTGAGCACCATTTAAAAGGACTTCGATAATTCGAATCATTCTTCAATATCATATATATCATATCAAAGGTACATGTTTCTTGCTATTTATATAAAGAAGACTAAAATTCTCGTTTGATCTTTTCAGTGTTTAGTATTTGACTTGAAATGAATTTATAATTTAATTAAGAAGTCCTTTGCAAGAGGACTCACTCCTGCCTCTTATTTCGGTTACGTAGAGACGGGTATTTCCCGCCGATGGCGTCTCTAGCGCGCGCAAATCAAATCTTGATATGTGAGTGCCAAGATTAGCTAACATAACATTTCTATACTCAGACTTCGATGGGGAATGTAGAGACCGACGTAGATGGGTACTTGAGCTGCAGCTTTACTAGATGATTGAAGAATGTTATGACTGTAAGAAAATCAGACACTCTGTCAGTCACGCACAGTTAAACATGGAAGTGCATTGAACCGCCTGATATTGGTTGCCGTTTAACCAACCAAAATTTCCAAACCTCTGTAAAACCATCCCAAATTTCAATCCACATCTCTAGATGCTAGCCTGGCCCTCGACGTTTTGTCTCGTTTTTCAAGGCTCAGCTGCCCAGAATCTTCTAATCTCTGTGTTGACCTCTCTGAATCAAGCTGCACATAAATAAGACCTGCAACAATCAATATCCATATTGTGTTAAAGATAAAATAGTACCACTCTCCAAGTCCTTTGAAGATAGAAGAAGCAACTACCAGATAAGGCGCGCCACAAATCGCTGCCGGGGTCATTGGAAATGGGATGATGACCTTGGTCACCCATGATTTTAGGTAAATTGCTTCAATGACATTGCTGTCAAAGTCGACGATAGAAGCTGTGTAGGCATTTGGATAATCGTTGATCTCTCCGCTTTGGATATTATTAGATTTGGCTCTGCAGATGGTGTTATTAGTGTGTTATTGGTGATTAGTGAAGAATGATGGAAACACATACAGACCGAGAACATAAAATTTGTCGACTTGTGATCGGGATGATGTGTGAATGGTGATACGAGTACCTCCGATTGGCCCATAAGATCTATCACGTCTCAAAGAAAGTTCGGGGTGAAATGACCAGCTTGGTCTGAAGAAAGTCTTATTACGAGTTTGAAGGTACGTTTTATAGCCTAAAGGCTTTAGTACTGTTGCGTAAAACTCTTCTGATGCTTTCAAGTTGGTACATGGAAGGCTGATGTGGTACAGACTCATTTTGTATGAATTTTGGGATGTTGAAACAAGATTGAGTGTACTGCACGAAGCTGAGTTGTGTTCAATACAGACTCGAAACTTATTGAAACAAAGTGCGGGATTGATCATGTTTGACGGCTTTGTTGTCTCGTTTGCTAATAAGTGTCAGGAAGATAAAGAATTCTTTACAACAAACTCACCGAACAAAGACTGTTTATTTCTCGTCCTCTATCGAATAAAGCCAGTCGTGTTATGTAATTCCCAAGAATCTAAGCTTCTCCCTATCATCCTCTTCCAAGTCAACATCCATATGATCCTCCCTATCTTTCCCTTCTAGCCCCACGATACCTCTTTCAACTCTCAACATCAACATCCTCATCCTCTCTAATTCTTTCTCAATTTCCCCGTTTTTGGTAACAAGGTTTTCTTGAATATTCTTCTCCGCTTGATCAAAGGGTTCTAATAATTTCTTGGCAGCTTTACATTGTTCGAGTTTCTCCTTTGCGGCTTTTCGCTTCTCATTTAGTCCCAACAATTTATTTTGAAGCTCTTTGTATTTCGCAGCTTGCTTAGGTGCTTTCGTTTCTGCTTCTTCGCTCCACTCCTCTGGCAATTTCTCAATGTTAGATGACAAGCCTGTCGATTGAGATATTGATTAGCATAAGTCTGGTAAGCCCTGATTGATATGACTGATGGAACTCACGATAGTCAGCGCCCTTTTCACTCCACTCGTCTCCATTCACATTAACATCTCTCTCCCCTGCGGCCCAGTATAATTGATCGATCTGTTCAGCAACATGTCGCTGTGCCTGCGGAGGATAGCTGATCTTGTTATGTTGTTTCAGGATAGTATTGAGCTTGAATAATGCTTCATCGATTACTCGTTGTCGTAAAGTATTCTCTTCCTCTGCTATCGAATCTTGCCATTCTCGAGATGGTTGAAGAGGTTGAGAGAGTGCGAATATTTGTGCGCGCAGGAACGAAGATTTAAGATCAATTATTGTTGGATCGCTGGACTCCATATTTGGATTTGTGGTTGTTGAATTATCCAAAGAGAAGCTGGTGAGACGCGTAGTTTGAACGTGCGTGTCGCGTCTCTATTATAAGGTCATGTGACACAAGGTTCGCACTTTGGATCGTACAAGAAAACGATATGTTGTCGGTTCTAATATATTGTAACTAGCTTCGTATGCATCATCGGCTTACAGAATTTACAGATTTTGGCCAAAAAGCTACAAGTATTTGTCGAAGGTCACTTAATGGATACATGTTCATCAAGCGACATGAATAATAGCAGTTTATATACGTTGTCTATGAATACCAGGGAAGCTCCTCCCGCGTTCCTCATCTCATCAATATGATTCCTCAAAAGCAAAATACAGAGATGAAGGATGTAAACGCATAGAATACTCACTTGAGAAATTGGCGATGACACTAATAAATTCGTTGCCAGACGAATGGAGAGACGCGGAACACCTTTTCACTGATCTATGGACGGGCTGTCAGCTCTAGAGCCGGGAGATAGGTTATGGCAACGAGAATCTACTGCGACTCAGTTTCCCAGTTCAATACGTTCTAAATATCGTCTTGGTGGCTAACAGAAGACTTATTAGCCTCTTGCTGTTTCTGGCGGGCTTCTTTCTCTCTCTTGCGCTGAGCATCTTTCTTGTCCCGACGACGAAGTTCAGCTTCTTGTGCTTCTCTCTCCTGATTATCTTTCAGGACTTGAGCCTCCGCTTGTTCTAAACGCATTTCTTTCTTGGAATGAAGCACTCTGCAAATCGTCTCTTCATGTTCCCAAACAAGACCTGCCATGCCTCTTGCATGGACTTTGCGCACCAATAATGAAATCCTCGAAAGAATACAGTAGATCATATACCAAGAAGTTTCCGCGATATATTGTCGAAGAGCCTTTAGAGTTAAACGAGGTTTCGAATAGTGCCGGTGAATTCTATCGCATGTCCGCTATGACTATCTGAGAATGGACTTTTAAAATCGGTAGATATCTCGGCTTTTTTACCTCCTCGAGCTTAATGCTTCCCGGAAAGGTGGCCGAAACCGTCTTTATTAAACTTCCATACATCGTTGAAAATCCAAGTCTGTTGTTAATTCCAGAGATGCAGTGCGAAAATGCGGCTGCAATCCTGATTGTTGCTAGAGTAAATCTGACAAGTTTGTGGTGTTAGTTGTTACAAGTCGTTCAGTGCCATGCAGGCATCACAAACTGCTTCAAATACAACGAATCCGCAATTATGAGAGGATATAAAAAATAGCAAGTTTTATTAGCAGATATCCCGAATCTGCAATTGTATCACGATTCTCAGAATTGAACATTCAGAACATTATCTACCTCCAGCCGAGATCTTTAGACTCAAAAAGAATTAAGAGAGTTGGAAGACGCCACTGACAGATTACCACCAGATACTGGCCCAGCAAGATTCCCCAGGGACTGATTTAAATTAAGCACTGCCAGTGAGATAGATGGGTCGGAAGAGCAATTGAAATTAGTACTGAAGATCCGGGAGAAATTGAAAGAATACAGTATGTGTGTGAACTGCACGATTTCAAGCCCACGAACTGACCACGGCCTGCCACTAGATGAAGCTGTATTCCTTTGGACTCAGATCTCGAAAAGTTCATCACCGCGTCCAAAGCGTTTGGCCAGATTCCAGGAATGGATGGAACGTCCTTCCATGGGTGGTGTTATTCTGATTCGAAGAGACCGGTATATTTGGGCTGATGGAAAGGATCTGGTTACCATTCAAGAAAAAGTACCCGAAAACATATTCTTCGAATTATGGGGCAACACAATCACACCCATATACCATTACTCTGTAGGAAGATTACACAAGGCAATCTTTACTCGCCCAACCCGAACCATTGGCTGTTTTTAAAACCTAGTTTGTAGAAAGCAGATATCGAGACGACAGACTATGCGCCGAATGCAATTGACTGCTTCGATGCTGTAATATTTCGTATTGTGTCGTTTCTTGGTGTCATTATGGCATCGAGAATTTCTGTGATGCCAATTGTAGTTCTATATTTAGTCGCTTCGATGGTGAAACGTTTAGCACTCGTTGGAATGTTCACCACAATATTTTCCGTGTGTCTATGATTTATGACGGATGGAAGATTGGTCAAGGGTTTCTCTGCAACTTCAGCGTATGTCTTGTGCCTTCACAAATGCACTTCAACTGACGATTGAAAGTTCTGCCGCTGTACAAGTTGTGTTTATCGGTACGAACACAACATGGCCTAATCGACCTATATATGGATTTGTTGAAGCATCCCGATATCATCCTCAGCTCTATTCCATACGCCACATCACACTTTGGACAAGTATGATAGATATTTTTTATGTACACATATATTGTATCAATTGTTAAGAGCCTTGAAGTTCCATGTTTCGAAGAATCGTCCCCGTACCATGCAACATCGGGTGATTACGATAATGACTCTCATGGTTGACTTCGCAGACACATTTTATTTCCTCCCTTTTATGTCTTACACAGAAAGGTCGATTGCGTAGTAAACAATTTTCTAGATCATTTGGATTTGAGGGAATGACCTGCGAGTAGAGTTAGGATAAGCTAAGCGAAGCGTGTTCTCAAGGATACTTACTCGTTATGCTGAGCTCGGTCTAGATAGCATCTTTTCGCAGATGAAGCATATAGGCTTGTTTGACATTGTGAAGTTTCTTTTTTGTCTTAGAGGAAAGTTTCGATGACTTATCGGATACACGGTGTATGGTAATGTTGATGTGGTTGATGAGAGTGTATGAGGTTCAATTTGATTATTAAATAGCCTTGAATAAATGAATAAACGAAACAACAGCAGTGTCATACTTCATGTATTCCCAAGCCAGTAAGATCACTTATTCAGGATCAGTTGTTCTTCGTTTTTTCTGTTTGAATCGATGATGAACCACGTTGCTAGCGATTCTGTGTAATCTCGTGGTAAATTTTGGGGCTCAGAACGTAGCACTGATCTATCTTCCGACTATTTGGTGCGCAAACATTGTCAGTTTCGAAACGCAATTCTTGATAATGATTATGATCTTGAAGAACTCCGGTAATGGACTGTTAAGGTAATACTTCACTATCTGATGAATTGTGGACGATGTACACAAATTACTTATCCTCTTGTACAGTGTAATAAATGAAACCTCGCCATCAGAATATTCAAAACTCATTTTCATTGAAATTGGCTGCAATAACAAGCATGTATTTATTATTATGTGTTAAATGTTATCTACCGCCGTTCGCCTTTCTCTTTACTCAACAACACTCAGAACCTGCAATCCCATCTTTCATCTCAAACCGAGATTGAAAAACCCCCACTTAACTCCTTCCCAACCTTCACAACCACATCACCTTGACCACTAATCTGCATACTCGCATCTGTACCATATTGTTTTTCACTACCACTCGCGCTACTGGCCAATCCCAAGAACACAATCCTTTCAATACTCACCCCAGCATCATATCCAAAATGTCCAGATACATCAAAAGATTTTCCATCCCAATTGAATTCAATCAATGAATATCCTTCTTGCACGATACTGACTCCATCATCTAGATACAATTCCCCTTTAGCTGTTCCATCCGCACCAACCGGAACAATAATTTCAAAGTTCTGTTTTCTGACTTCTGTAGTTGTCATTCCGCCTTTGATACGTTGAGGAACGATAACTCCACCGCAATAATGAAGGGGTATATCTGTGATATTTTGATCTGTGATTTGAATCGTGTTTGCATGACCAGTCACTAGCGCATGCGTGTAGAAATCATAGTAGATGTCCTTTGGAAGATACAAATCCACAGTCGTAGAATTGCCCTCCATGACCGGACTCACAAGAATTCCCGGTCCGTAGAAATATTGCGTTTCCAATCCAAAGGTGGCGGGATCAGATGGGTAAATGTAAAACATGGGATTGATGAGTGGTCTTCCATCAACGGATTGTCGATACAAAGCTGTGTATATGTAATCGATTAGTCGATACCGAATATCGATCGCTTTTT